ACAATTTCCTACCATTTTATTCAGCAGGAGCAAGCGCAGCTCAGTTTGGTTTTCGACAGCGGAGACAACAATGGCTTACCCGGCTCATTTTCCCCAGGTGAAAATGGGTCATCTTGCCCCACCCGTGGCCATTTTCGATTAATGACACCCGCTAAGGAAAATAACCATACACCGCAGATAACAACCATCTCATTTTAAAGGCAAAACATGTCTTAGTTATCAGGGGCGATACCACATGTTACCGGGTGCTGAGCGTGAGAACGTTGCCGTCTCACGTGAAAGACTGCAACATCGTAAGCGAACGGCACATGGAAGCTCAAGTCAATTAGCGCCATAGGAGCTGAGAAACATGGGGTGGCTAAACTTGCCCCTTGGCTCATCTTACCTCACTCTCCCCTATTTGGGGCTCTCAACTTTGATTTGTTAAAGTTTTTTTGTCTGTTCATTATAAAAGATGTCAAATTTGCCGTATCATTAACCCGCGCCCCACTGGGGTCTGTGTATAACACGCCCTACTGGGGGGGGGGGGCTATTCATAGCCCCCCTTCTAACTCCGAAACTACTGGGCCGATCGTCAAAATTCAAACGGCGTCTGATAGCCCCGGAAAAACTGTCGAGCGAAACCTAATTTCATTGACCTCGAGGTCACCGATGACGTCACAGGTCAGGTCAAAGTAAAAATTATTAGCATTTTGGCTTGTTCACATTTTGGGCTCTGGCCGCCGTCTTACAAGTCAGATCATGCTCATTTTTGGTTTCCACACTCGTGAACAGATGCTTTAGATATCTTGAGGGTACCAAACTTGTACTTTGATTTTCAGGTCAGGGTCAGGTCATCACAGGTCACGGAAATATTATATCATACGTCGGTCACGTGACACATGTTTTATGGTCCATTTAGGCCATAGATTTCGAATTTGATGTTGTCTGTGTCATTTGAGGTCATTTTGAGTCGAATTTAGCTTAGGTCAGGTCACTTTCAGGTCAAAAAAGGTCAAATTTTGAAGTTAAAATTTTTCAACAAAAAAGGTGTCTATTGGATGCAGTTTGAGCTCAGGAACACGATGGTGCCATTTATATTGGTGTACGATGTCAAATACGTACTGAAAAATTGATTTGAAAAATTAATAATTGTGAATTTTTTGCAATAATGCGTATAACTTGGCCATTTTTGAAGATATTTAGCTAAAACTTGCTAGAGTTAGTCATAATCATGCGTTCTGTCACATATATTCCGGTTTTTTTCGAAAAGTCAAAAACTTTTTGAAAAAAAATACAAAAATATAAATTTTGAATATTATTATATAAAATTTTCGAAATTTTCAAAAGTTTGAAAATCCGAGATAGCAATTTGATAGCGCGGTCAATTCTGAGTCCTTTCATGCAAAGAAATTGGATCTAGCTTAAAAACTGAGCTCTTGGGAGCGATTGCCGTGGTTCAATGTTTTGCGTCGAAATCGGACGAACATGACGTCACTCTGACGTCATTTCCGGCCGACCTATGGTAGCTACGAAGTTCAAATTTTGACACAAGGTGTCAAATTAATGCAGCTAAAGGTACCGAAAGTTTGGCGACGATCCGTCAAGCGATTTGAAAGTTATTGCGGAAAAACGGGAGGGGGGGCTATAAATAGCCCCCCCCCAGTGGGGCGCGGGTTAAACTTTTATTGAGTTTGTATTTCACACTTATCTAAAATGAACAATTTTGTCACTGGCTTCTTTTATGAATGGAATTGGATGGTCGCATGAATGAACGAATGAATAGCTCCATTTGAGCATCAGCTGAAATCAATCCTAAAATTTAATCTACCAGTCTGCAACGAAAAGGTTTAAAAAACAGTGCAAGTTAGGTGCAGTTTCTAATATATGCCGTTTTTTATTATGAGTGTCTCATAGCTCCTTAATCTTGAGCCGCTTCTCTTACGATTCATTTTATGTGGTGCTTACATTGTTCAAGAAGTTATAGTATTCGAGCTCGTTGGTCTTAAAAACTGCTATCGAAGTAAATTAAAGTGCTTCGGGCTTCGGCACTTAAAAACCAATCGATATTTAACCCTCACCCACTTAGGCATGTCTTTTCAGCGTCTTACATGTAGCGGAGGGGCGTAGAAACCCTCAGCCATTCGGCCCTTGATAAATATAGCCAGAGCTTCGCTGAAAAATAAAAAAGAGCGAGCTGCTCGTGACGAGAGAAATCCGATGATTTGAGGGTCCTGGTCATCGCTGACGAGAGAAAGCCAATTATTTTCATGTCCTGGTCAATGCTGAGATCCTAGGTTACTGGTTGACCTCCCAGATCAGGTTAATAACCCAAAAGCACGGAAATTGGGTCCCGCTAGAATTTCTACAAGTGAAGTTTGCTGGGACTTGGCTTGTTTCTGACTCCGAATTTGCACTTGCTTTGATCAAAGATGATGTATCAAAGCATTTGGGGTAGGACGGGTCACGCCAGATCACCCATTAGGCGTTCTGCCGGCTATCCATAGAATGTTAACCAGCACTTACAGCCTTGCACCATATTGTATAACTGATACCTAAGTATGCCTAGTTTTCAAATGCTAAAATGAGTGCTAAATTTCAAACCAACACTTCCTAAAAACCACAGTAAAAAGGTGTAAATTTAAGGAAGTTAACCGAAATCATTTCAAGTAAATGACCTTAACCTGAGTTTCACGTGACCTTGGCACCCACAACAATCAATGAGACAAACATTAGATAGTTTGGATGCTTCCGTGATGCTTCCGTGATGTGCTTAAAAGACTGCTGAAAATATATCTTTAAAAAATAAAGATAACTACTTCATCGATTTTAGCGAAAGAAAACATGTATGCCTAATTACTTATTTCTTGCCACTGACGGAGGCACTTTTTTGTGCGAAACGTCTGGTTTTATTCGTATTGTTATTGTATTGTCATTCCCTGTGAGAAAAAAGGATAACTCTTCAGTTAGTAACCAGAACAGCGAAACGGCTCAATGTAACACAATTCACTGTGTTTACGAAACCTATAACTGTCCCTAAAAATAATCCTATTTACAACTTTTAAAAAGATACAGCCTATACAGCTTAGGCATACAATTTTTTTCTGCATTAAGATAAAATTCATTTATCTCCACAGAATACGGTAAATTAGTGCTGCTGAAGTTCGCTTTCGAAGCGTCTCCTCCAAGCATTCCACAGCTCTCGTGCCATTTTGGATCACGGAACATGGCTGGGCGCAGGACAGGCCGTCTGCGAGCTTGGACGGACCACGTGACCACCTCCTCCCCTCCCCCTCACTCCCGTCCCCTTCCCCAGCAGGGCGTCCGCCGTCCGATCTAACCGCGCCCCAGGCAGTCGGCTCGGTCCGACCCTCCCCTGGTCGAGCCACGGCCGCCTGAGTTTGTGCCGAGTGCAAAACTGGAGCAGTAACTAGCGCCGGAACTAGTAGTCAGCACGACCATCGTCAGATGGCAGGAGTAAATGGAATAAGCGGTTCCAGGTTTCAGAAGGAATGGGGCAGGAAGAAGCGCTGAAAACAATGTTTTGCTGATATAGCCATAAAAAGTTCACTGAATTAGGAGAGCAGCACATCAGTTTAAAGCCCTTCAGATGGTGGTTTTAATAAGCACACAATCATTTCCCAATTCGCCTCCAACGGTGTCACAGGCAAAGAATACGCTGAAATACTAGTGTGTACAGAAGCAACTGCGGGTCCCTGTACCTGCTGTGTCGCTGCTTGGAGGCCCCTCACGGTCCCAGTCGGACTCGCCGCTCGCAGAGGGTCGGTCCTGGGCACGGCTAGTGGGTTGGCCACGCCTTGACTGGTCCCATCCCTCAACCGGGTTGGGTCTCAAGGGGTGTCTCTGGACACAGGCAGAGGGGTGCCTTGACTGGGTTGCCCCTGGCTGTCTCACCGTCGTCCCGAGTGCAGCGGGTTGTGCCCGGGACGGATTCAGACCACCTGTCACCGGCGGCCTGGAAGCCGCTCTGAGGGGAACTGGTGCCGTCCGGATGTTTGAAGGGGCAGTTCACTCTTATGTGATCCATCAGACCGCAAACATAACAGTTCATGATTGATTTTTCTCCACTGTCACAGTCCTTTGGTGCCACTACTCTGTGAACACCAGCACCAGTGTGGTCTCCCAGTGCCCTCTCAGCTCTCTCTCTATTCCTGCCACTGTCTTGGCAGCTGTGTCAAGTGTTGTCACTCCCATCTTGACCAGCTCATGTTTACCGGAGGGTGGGAGTAGTTACATCAGATGCAGCAGAGACATCTGATCTCTGTCGGCTTTGTTCATGAGAGTTGGGTATGCAGCAGGTATCAGTGCCTGTATTTGTAGCGGGTGCGCCTCACGTTACCCAGATATCCAAGGCTTGTCAAGCTCCTGCACGGCACTCACCGGATCCAAAGCTCCTCCCAAGAAGCTGGACACCTCTGACTCGAGGTCACCGAGTTCTTTCGGCAGATTCTCACTGCACAGCTGCCTCACACAGTCTTTGACTTCACCAGTTACAAAAATCTCAAGTTAGCCACCAGCTTTTCCTCACTCCACTTCTTCAGTCCACCAAAAATGCGGTAGTCCTCCAACCACACCACCCATTCTTTGGCGCTTGTGCCACTTAACTTTTCGAGTCCAATATCTTTCTCAGCCATTATCTAGTCCGTTACTTTACTTAGATCAAACAATCAATCAAAAACACCGCACCAGAGACCCCACCGACTGCCACCATTGAAATGGATTCTATTCTTTGTCTCTGGACTCGCGTGTTTACTGCTGATTGATATATTTCACATAAGGATTGAGGCACTTGGGGTTAATAGCTGGACAATCATGCGCACAGTTAGTTCAGGCACACGCCACACAGTGTCAACATTTCACGATGGTCCTCTAAAAAACACGTTGTACTCTCCGCCTTATCTTTACAACCCGGATCACTCCAAAAACTGACCTGCTGAGCCTGGTCCTGGGCACGCACATTGCACTTGTAGTTCTGTCGTGTGGTTTACTGCCTGTTCCAGGAACCTACTGAGCCTGCATCTCGCCAGTCACCGTGGGAAGTCGTATACCGGAGCGCCTTTTCGCCCTCGATCGAGGTGAGCGTAGGCTGTTAGCTTAAAGGTAGTGTGCCACCTTTGAAATATTTCCCATTTTTTTCCTAGGATAAGAAGCTTCTGTTTTTACCTAATATCGCAAAAAAAAAATCAAAAATGGGCCTGGAATAGTGCCTTTTTCGCCTAAAAGTGTATCGGTTTTTCGATATGTATAACAACTGTAGTGGGCTGGCCTGCAAACAGGCGTCGGCAACAATCGCGAATGCGGCGCACATGTGACAATAAGCAAAGGTCATTATAGAGGTGCGACGTACGGGAATGAGTTATCAGCTGTCTAATCGTAGACAACACAATGTCGAGCCTTAAACTGTAAGCCTGTATTGGTATTGTTTCTTTTATTTGGCTGTCGAACATTATTTATGGTTTGAAATATGATTTTATGTAAAATAATTGATATGAAAAAGCCGTCTCTTAAGTTATGACCCCATTTCATCGCACGCAAGTGGCAGAAATGACAATGATCAGCTGACGCATTTTTCTTGGCCGAAGTCAGAGCGCGCGGCCCGACGCACCACCACCGCACCACAAAGTATGAGCAGAAGCCGCGCCCAAAGCCAGGGCCCCGGTAACGTGAGGTAGCCGAGTCGCGGCAGCGTGCGCTGACCCAAGCCGGGGCCGCAGCTTTGAGCGCGGTCTACCGCATCCCCGCGGGCAGCCCCGGGCTATCACATGACACCGGGAGGACGCGCGGCCCCGGCTTGGGTCAGCGCACGCTGCCCCGACTCGGCTACCTCACGTTACCGGGGCCCTGGCTTTGGGCGCGGTCTACCGCACCACCTAACAGGCGTGTTCGAAACCGCAGGAGATGATGATGAACGGGTTTATCGAAACTTGATTGGATGAGCATATCGGTAATAGCGATTTCAGTGTGTGCATTTATTGTTCATAGTGGTGTGAAATTTGGTTGGGGTACGACCGACAACCCGTCGGGGCGAATTTCGCACTGGGGTACTCAAAATTTGAAGAATTTAAGACGTTTCCATGAGTTTTGAAGGTATGGATAAGTTCTAAAAATCCGGTTCTCCTTATCTGGGCCATTAACTCCATACGGTACAGGAAAGCTGGCACACTACCTTTAATCTCTACTGCGGTTGCGGATGTAAAGTGTATGGAGAGAAGAGTCAGATGTTGGAAATGATTATCATCTTAGTTCCTAATCGCCCTTATTGTCATTTTCGAAGGCCGGTAAAACGTCTAGCCCGCGCTCTGTCGAACTGGTTCATCTGAGGCGCTTCAGGATCGGAGGTGTTATCGGATGTCGCTGTGGTCAGGCTCTTACGGAAAATTGATTAATATTCTGTCAAGTGGTCCTCAACAGCGAAATAACCTAGACAGTATATTTAGCTGTTTTCGCTTATTTCACAAGGGAGCACACATCGCAGAGCTGTGGTGTGTGCGCCCTCGTGAACTTCTAATGAGTTGACTCCAGCTAATCGCTCGCGGTGTCAAGTTGTTTCTGTCCTGCCGCACTGATGAAGTCAAGACCATCTCGCACTGGTGTTCTCTGCCCGCAGCCATGATGAGGCAGATTAAGGCGGTGCTGATAGATCTCAGCGGCACACTGCATATCGACAACACCAAGATTCCGGGCGCCGTCGAGGCTCTCGAGAAGTAAGTAAGCAGTCAATCGCCAACTGCTGACTTCATTGACTTTGTGGTTTCAAATTGCAAAAGGACTAGCCGATCGTCTCTCAGCGAATCCCTGTCTTGCTCCACCACTACAAAGCTCCCTGCCCCGCTAACCGATCGCCCGCCGCTGTCGGTCGGCAGGCTGCGCACGTGCGGCGTGCCGCTGCGGTTCGTCACTAACACCACCAAGGAGTCGCTGTCGGTGCTGCACGGCCGGCTGACGGCGCTCGGCTTCCGTCTGGAGCGCCGCGAAGTGTTCAGCTCTCTGGCGGCCGCCCGCCGGCTGGTGGAGCAACGCCAGCTGCGACCGCTGCTGCTGCTCCAGCCCGAGGCACTGGAGGACTTTGACGGTGTGAACACGGAGAAGCCGGACGCGGTGCTGGTCGGCCTGGCACCGGATAAATTCAACTACGAAACGCTTACCGAGGCATTCAGGTGAGTGGTGGGATGGAGGGCGCTTGGGCAAGGCTGATGGGAGGCTGGAACTGGGAGAGAGATGCTGCGTTTGTTAGGGGTCCGAGACTCGCGGAGACCATCCGGGCCCTGTCCGGCTCGCAATCTGGCCGTATTGTGGTTTGCCGACCCAGCTGAGCCTTCGTGCCCACTATACTTCCAACCATCCCACGGTTGGTTTGCCGTCCACCCGTCCTGCTGCCGCCCCGATTGACCCGCCATATCCGCCCGTCCCGTCGCCGCCTCTCCGTCTGACCCGCCGTCCGCCCCATTTGACCCCCGGTCCCGTGTTCCCTCAGACTGGTACTGGACGGCGCAGCGCTGATTGCCGTCCACAAGGCCCGCTACTACCGCCGCCCGGACGGCCTGGCGCTCGGGCCCGGCCCGTTCGTGGCCGCCCTGGAGTACGCCACCGGACGTCGCGCCGAGGCCGTCGGCAAACCGGAGCGGGAGTTCTTCCACTCGGCGCTGGCCGAGCTCGGCTGTCGGCCGGAGGAGGCCGTCATGATTGGAGATGTGAGGAATTGGACGATGGGGAGGGGGTGTAGGGAGGTCAGTTTGGTTAACGGCCCGAGGACGAGGTCATGATCGGATATACAAGGAATTGGGAGGCGGTCGGGGGAAAATCGGGTGGTCAGCGACACAGTCGCATTATAGGCTATGCTTTTCTTCACTTGCCCCACTCGATTTTCAGACTAGCCATAATCCCCACACTTTTGTTAAATTATTGTTTGTCCCCAGTTATGTTTAAGCTAATAATAGCAGATGGGGTACGTGTTTCACGCCCCTGCACCATATCGGTGGCTCCTTTTCGCCCACACCTGACCAATGTTGCCCCGTTGTCGGCCAGGACGTGCAGCAGGACGTGGGCGGCGCGCAGGAGGCCGGTCTGGCCGGACTCCTGGTCCGCACCGGAAAGTACCAGCCCGGAGACGAGGCCACCATTTCTCCTCCGCCGTGGCACGTGGCCGACGCCTTCCCGGAGGCAGTGGAGCACGTGCTGCGGCAGCTGGAGCTGCAGCGGAGTGGGTCCGCGGATGGAGCGGAGGGGAGACCCGGTGCCGACCAGTGAGGGGTAGAGGCGGAGAGGGACACGTAGTGGATTTGTTAGTTTGTGGTGAAGGGAAGATGTTACCATTGCGGCCTGTGGTTAGCGATGTCAGGTGTGTATGATGCTGGTTATGTGGAATAAATGATAGCGGTGACATGGATCGTGTTAAGCGATATTGATGTAAGGGGTATTCATTTACAGCAAAACTTCCACTGTTGCGACCAGGCTGGTGGCCTCAAAATAATGTTGGGTGGCTCCTCTCGCGACAGGGTTATCGTAAGAAATTCGCAGCTTTTGCCGAATACTTGTTGCTACTGCTATGTGCTATTTGCCGATTTGTTAGAAAATAAGGACGCTAATGAAATTCGTTTTTGTTTTTGGTCATTGTTCGGGACGGATGCTATCGGAACTGCATGGATCTGGAGTTTCGCCGTATATCGTCTCATTGTCCGCATATCTCATTGTTTTGTGAACAATATTGAATTGTTTCGTGAAAGAGGCCGAAAGGAAACCTGTCGCGAACCGACTGGTTTCTCTTGTTTCACTCTTACTTTCGGAATGCCGCTGTAAGGATTGCAATGCCGTTATCCACCACGCTATGCTAGACTGTATCCGGTATAGCAACGTTTTGCCCTGATGTACGCAATACAGATGCAAATAATGCAACGCTACCTTTTTGCGTCGAAATCCAAAACGAAACGAAACTGGATATTGTCACCTTCGTTTTAAATATATCCGTTAGTTGGCAATTTCACCGGGCTGCCCGTCTCTGGGTACGATTGATGCCTGTCGACGATATGTGAGGGGTATTTGAGCTATGTATGCCGGTTGCGAGGAAAATGCCAGGTAAAACACTATCAAAAGGCTAGCAAACATCACATTGCTTCGACAATCAGCTTTTAATTGAGCCATATGCGGCGGCCGGCGAGTACCTTCATAGCAGCGGGAGTGAGGTCAGGCCAGACATTTCTTGGTCAAGCCCGGTTTCTTGACTGATGACTCCCCATTCATCCTCTATCTTTATGCCTACATCTGTAATTGATTACTCAATAAAGACCTCATAAAGACATAGAGGCACCGATTGCGATAAATAAATCGCCCAGCGTGCCGAGGTGCGCCGTACCGCCGTACCTTAGCCGCGCAGTCGGACTGAATGTCAAACATTGAACAAAGCTGCCACGGAATACGGATTCGCAAAATGCCTGGCTGCAGGAAACGGGCGATCGTGAGAGGAACATGATCGATGAGTGTTTGTTTTATTCAGATAGAGCGTAACATTTTTGGACATTTAGCGAAACAGCTTGAAACATAGGCGTCGCCAGAGATTTTCGGTTGGGGGGGCAAAATCAACTTTTGTGTTAAATCTTGCCTTTTCCCAGTCGTTACTCACTCGTTTTACATATCATTCAACGCACAATGGTGCGAGGAATCCGATGGTGACAAAGTTTTCCTTCTATCTATGACATGTCATTTTTTTTTACAGAAAAAAATTGAAATTTTGAAATTTCTCGACAAGAACGACCGGTAGAATTACAGTGGCTGCGATTGCCGACGCAATGCAGAGGGTCCCTGTGCATACTCGTCGCTCATGATCATTATCCAGAAAAAGGTGAAAAACGCTCCATTTAATCGCATCACCCTGCTAAAACCTCCATTCACGCATGCATGCAGAGGTTTTACGTGAAATGCATAGGGCTTATCCCTGCCGCCGATTGTAGCTAAGCTGGGCAGTGGGCATTAGGCGGAGACTGAGAGTGAATGTCGGAAATGTGAATCAGAAGTTATCCATTTTTGCTCCAATGAGAGGAAGTGTTTTGTTCACTCGAGTGTGAACAAAAAGTTTCTCGTTATTCGCGTGAAGGGAAGCGCTGTAAACGGGAACAAAAATGTTTAACGGAACTAAAAGTTACGCACGGCATAGCGGCAAGGGATCCTTTAGAAATAGGCTCGGGACTTCCAGGCCATTTCAGGCCACTCATGGTCAGTGTGGAATGTGGATTCTCAAAAGCCTGCTTAGGATCCCGGAGATCGGCGTGGGTCACCCCAAATATTTACGAGTATGTGGTGCTTTAGGGCTTTCCGAGCCCAAGGTGGAGCCCTAAGAAGCCAGTGTGGGCGGCGGGCGCTTAGAGATTAGGCCCAGGGTGAGCCTGGAGCCCTCGGATAACGTATGCACCATCGGGGTCTGTGTGAAATCCCTAAGGACCCTATGTAGGGACATAAGAAACATTTGTTGCGGCCCTCAGAGGGACACGTGAGTTGTGACCCCTCAGATGCCGGCTTGGGGTTAGCAAAGTCTACCTCCTCAAAGGTTCAGCTGAACTATCAGATGCCAGTTAAGGTTCTCAGACATTTTCGAAGGCATCCTCAAAGATTCGTGTGGCCCTTCAGAGGTATAAGGTATAAGGTGTATAAGGTCCTCAAAAATCACTGTATGGGCCCTCAGAGAACATAGACACCAGTGGGGCTCTCAGAGGCCGGTCTGGGCCCTCTGAATACCTCTTAGAGCTCAGAGGAGCTCCTTAGGAGCTTGTGTGATAAGCAAGTTCATGAGCCCTGCGGCATTTGAACGGTGCTTGAGCCTGTCGCACACATTTGACAAGAGTTGAGAAAGGCGCCGAAGATTTCGTGTCAAGCTTTGAACGAAAATTATGCGTCAGCAATCCAAAACTGATGAAAATCAGCTATAACATGTAATAAAGAACCAACTAGGAACATGGAATGAATCACAGCATTGACATTTCCGAGTCTGGAGTCGGAGTCTTGAAGATTTTGGGGACTGCGACTCTGACTCTGGTTTGAACTGCACGCTCCAACCGAGTCTGACCTCACAGGCATTCTCAAAAAGGTACCCCCATTTTTTCCCGACTCCAAAATCTCATCGGATCTGTATCGATCTCAGGGGGTGCCCGGTCCGAGGTTGGGGGGGCAAGCTGCCCCGCTTGCCCCCCCGTAGCGACGCTAATGGCTTGAAAACGGGGTTGATACTGATATTATCCGCGTCCAAATCTGCCGATGACCACCTACTCAGTTTCATCATCTACTGCCTTTGGTGTTTAGGTACTATCCCGATACTTTTCCATCATATAAATGAAGTATCATTAATTTAAGCATAATTTTTTGAATAATGAAGAACAAAACGACCATCAACACAGAAGTATCAGTTTTCCGCAAATCAGCAATTTGCGTGCATGCTCAGTAAACTTAATTTAGCGGTCGTGTATTTTGACGTCCCATCATCTGCGCCGAATTGAGTTTTGTGCTTTGTTTGCTTTCGTGTGTGATGGAGTTTGCTGCGTAGGATGTGTGTGGGAATTTAGCGATTACTGCTTTAATTAGGTTGCAAAACCGTTGATATCGCTGCATTTACATCAAGAGTGTACTAGGCATTCATTCAAAATGAGTTTTGGCATATTTGTTTCGAGGTTGTGGGTTATTTCGGGGCATGAAGCAGCGTAGTGAATTTGGCCATTGTCGTCCCAGCCTTCAGACAAGACCACAAATATGTCGCGAAGGGCTGCATTATCATTGCCATCAGATAGCTTTTCTCAGTGCCCAAATGATCCCTTGAGGGAGATGTTTGAGGCATGCCGGGTTGGAGAGGTCTCAAAGGTAAAAAAGCTGGTGACAAATCAAACTGTCAATGCGAGAGACAGCGCTGGACGGAAGTCATCTCCACTTCACATTGCTGCAGGTATGTATGTTCTCAACATTTTTTTCAGCTGATATTGGTCAGTATTTTATGACACCACTTATACAACTTGTTAAAGCACTCATTGTAAATGTTACATGTTGGTTTGTTTATGAACAAAGTTGCAAATGCGTATGAATCATGGAGTGATTGAAAAACTTTGAACATATGCATATGTGCTCAAAATCAATGTACATTAAATGTGCATTCCAAATACCAATACAGAAAAAGCTGAAAAGGATGTCTCTGCCTTCATCGGAATTAATGTTATTTAGGTACAGTATAGCATAAACTGCTTGTTTGGTCATTGGTGTACTGTTCATCTTGACTCTTAGAATTGTACTTGTGTGCTGCATCTGCCCTTTTGACCAAATGTTGAGCATTCCTTTATAAGAGTATGTGTCCAAAATTTTAAAATAATCAGTTTTTAAAACTAAATGTACTAAACAAAATGACACAAATGATGCTGATAAATGTTTGTTGTATGTAGCAGATGTAAATTTCTTCTTTCGATTTTAACTTATAGCATTGATTTGTCTTCTGAAGTTGTCATATATTTTTTTACACTATGCCTATGAATGTTTAAAGGTAGTGTGCCAGCTTTCCTGGACCATATGGAGTTAATGGCCCAGATAAGGAGAACCAGATTTTTAGAACTTATCCATACCTTCAAAACTCATGGAAACGTCTTAAATTCTTCAAATTTTGAGTACCCCAGTGCGAAATTCGCCCCGACGGGTTGTCGGTCGTACCCCAACCACATTTCACACCACTATGAACAATAAATGCACACACTGAAATCGCTATTACCGATATGCTCATCCAATCAAGTTTCGATAAACCCGTTCATCATCATCTCCTGCGGTTTCGAACACGCCTGTTAGTTGGTGCGGTAGACCGCGCCCAAAGCCAGGGCCCCGGTAACGTGAGGTAGCCGAGTCGGGGCAGCGTGCGCTGACCCAAGCCGGGGCCGCGCGTCCTCCCGGTGTCATGTGATAGCCCGGGGCTGCCCGCGGGGATGCGGTAGACCGCGCCCAAAGCTGCGGCCCCGGCTTGGGTCAGCGCACGCTGCCCCGACTCGGCTACCTCACGTTACCGGGGCCCTGGCTTTGGGCGCGGCTTCTGCTCATACTTTGTGGTGCGGTGGTGGTGCGTCGGGCCGCGTGCTCTGACTTCGGCCAAGAAAAATGCGTCAGCTGATCATTGTCATTTCTGCCACTTGCGTGTGGTGAAATGGGGTCATAACTTAAGAGACGGCTTTTTCATATCAATTATTTTACATAAAATCATATTTCAAACCATAAATAATGTTCGACAGCCAAATAAAAGAAACAATACCAATACAGGCTTACAGTTTAAGGCTCGACATTGTGTTGTCTACAATTAGACAGCTGATAACTCATTCCCGTATGTCGTAACTCTATAATGACCTTTGCTTATTGTCACATGTGCGCCGCATTCGCGATTGTTGCCGACGCCTGTTTGCAGTTCAGCCCACTACAGTTGTTATACATATCGAAAAACCGATAAACTTTTAGGCGAAAAAGGCACTATTCCAGGCCCATTTTTGATTTCTTTTGCGATATTAGGTACAAACAGAAGCTTCTTATCCTAGGAAAAATAAAATGGGAAATCTTTCAAAGGTGGCACACTACCTTTAATGAAGCTTAACTAATGAGTTGTTTTCCATAATATTTAATGCAGCTGCATCTCATATTTTTCATCCACAGTTTTTAACTGCCTTCATCTTATTTCCATTTGCAGGTAATCAGAAAGGCACCATATTATATTATGATAAGGCTCAACATATTTTTTAACTTATTTCTAGGCCATTTGGATCGTGGATGTCACCCAGGTTTATGTGTAGAGTAGAGGGTGGTTTGATTGATTCCATTCCAGTTGAAATTGAATGTATTGCTGAATAATAGATACCTTCAATCACCTTTTATTGGACATTAATGTGTAGTTGTCATCAAGACCAAATTGTTTGGGAGACCAATCTCTAGTCATGTGGACTTATGATCACCAAACTCACTTTGTGCAATGCAATTAAGTTGGGATGACATTTATGGCCACCTATCATTTCTTGTTGACTGTAGACATCAAAGATGTCACAATAAGTCTTCTTAGACCTAAAGGTAGTTTAATTTTCATGAATATAATGTTTTCTTGTTAAAAAGATCTGGGCCCAGTTTCTGTGGATTAGCCTTTTTTAGATGAAGGTACTAATAGGGCATCATAGCTGATCATTCCAGCTCAGTTGTTTTTCAAGTCTATTGTGCACACCACACTTTTAGAGAAAATAGTTGGGAATTTTCTGGATAAAACTAAAAGGTAGGAGTGGTCATTATTTAGACATGTTGGTAGACATTCAGAACATACTTTTCCATAAAGATACAATTTGAAGTTTGACTTGAAGTTTGAATCTCTCCCCACTGGAGAATGGCTGTCTCTGTAGGTGTGGCATACATATTTTTGTGCATGAACTCCTACCCTCAGGTTATGGCCAATAGTCATTTGGGTACCAGTAGAGTTATGTATGTGTACTGTGTAATCCTGTTCCGCTCTCAGGCTAGGGCTGCCGTTGGGTGTTGGTATCTCCCAGTGTATCACCAGTCACCACCTCCCCCTCTTGCCCAGGTTACGGCCGCCGGGAGGTGGTGGAGCACCTACTGCAGCTGGGCGCCAGTGTGCACGCGCGCGACGACGGCGGCCTGATCCCGCTGCACAACGCCGGCTCGTTCGGCCACGCCGAGGTGGTGGCGCTGCTGCTACGCGCCGGCGCCGACCCGAACGCGCGCGACAACTGGAACTACACGCCGCTACACGAGGCCGCCATCAAGGGCAAGACGGACGTCTGCATAGGTGGGTGCTGGGGCGCGTAGGGACAGACCGAGGCGTCGGTCTGGTCGGGTGTGATGGGCCTGGAGTGAGACGACAAAGTGTCTTATGGTAAATGGTTACCCCGTGAATTGGGTGGCGACGCTCGGTCGACTTTTGTTGAAAGGCTCAGTGTCTGACCTAGTGTCAGCATAGTGAAGTTACAAATCGTGATCTGCACTCTGCAGTCTGCAGAAGTAAGTTTTCTGCACAGGTCTAGCATGTCACACCTGTTTCAATTGGTGTCCGTTTGCGATTGAATGTTGTCATAAACCTGCGATCAAAATGTAATCGTTCATTTCGTATGTCTTGTAAGCTCTGGGTCATGCATGTCGAGCCCTTCATTGCCACGTCCATGAGTACAATGCTGGGGCATTACCAGCCACCTGCATAGTTTTATCGTCGCTAGCCGCTAACCTTATCTCACAGATCGTTGCTGACACTGGTCTCCCACTTTCCAGTGCTGTTGCAGCATGGTGCTGATCCCAACATTCGTAACACGGACGGGAAGACGGCACTGGAGCTGTCTGACGTATCCACACGAGCCGTGCTCACCGGTACGTGTCTGGAGGGTAGTCGGGCACCCGCCAGGTAGAGAGGGGAGGGGAGCCAGATGTTCGTTGGATAGAGGGTGGAGAGGGAGTCATCCGCCATGGCTTTGATCATGATTGGTAATTGGACCATGCCGGGCGGTGCAAGGTGCACGGCCGATCTCTGGTTTTACGCGCTGCTAAGACGATTCGGTTGATGTGAAGGAACCATAAAAAATGATATTTCTGTGCGAAAATGTGTTGCATTTTATGCATGTTGAGGACTGTATCAGATCCATAGAAGCTCGTAATGTTCGATCAGCTGGATGGCCGAACTCAGAAAATCTATAAATATTTTCCGGACTCGCATGGCAGTGATACACTGCAGCATGGAAGTGCCATGTCGCAGCGGGCGCTGGCCGTCTCTCACATGATGTGAGTCACACCCCCGCCCGCCCATCCTCAGGTGAGTACAAGAAGGACGAGCTGCTGGAGGCGGCCCGATCCGGGAACGAGGAGCGTCTGCTGTCGCTGTTGACGCCGCTCAACGTCAACTGCCACGCCTCGGACGGCAGGAAGTCGACGCCGCTGCACCTGGCGTCCGGCTACAACCGGACTCGCATCGTCAACATCCTGCTGCAGAACGGCGCCGACGTGCACGCCAAGGACAAGGGGTCAGTCGGCTGGCCGACGGCCGATGGAGAGGAAGGGTCGGGCTAGATGTGATGTTATTTTTGGTTTATAGTTTGCTTTAGTCATTGGCTACAATCGTAAATCTTTTGCGTTACATTATAAGATTCTTCGATCGTAAAATGAAGTATGCCGTTTTTAGTGGTAATACTGAAAGATGCAGCATTTAGCTGTCCTGCTCCCAGTCGTATAACATCTTGCGGCTGGTATCTTGTCGATCCTTCACTGGCTGCTTGTTGACAATCTACTCTCATTCTCCCATGGTTCGCTGATTGACACCATCGCCCCATTCCGCTCCCACAGTGGCCTGGTGCCGCTGCACAACGCCTGCTCGTACGGCCACTACGAGGTGACGGAGCTGCTGGTGAAACACGGCGCGCACGTGAACGCCACCGACCTGTGGCAGTTCACGCCGCTGCACGAAGCCGCCAGTAAAATGCGCCTGGAGGTGTGCTCACTACTGCTCTGCCACGGGGCTGACCCGACGCTGCTCAACTGCCACTCCAAGACGGCCATGGACGCGGCGCCCACTCGCGAGCTGCAACATCGGCTGGCCTGTGAGTGCGGGTGGGGGAGACGCAGGGTGGTATGGCTTGGGGAAGCTGGAGGATGGGGGTCGTTTGACGATCTTGTGCTCAAACTAGAATTTGTATTGTTGAACAATGCGCACATCATGGCACAGCATACTAGAATGTCGTTGCTTTTTCAGGTGTGGGGTTGATTACTGTCAATAGGTTTTGTGCTATCATTATTACCTATGACTCTTGGGTGCGATTGTGCACTGCGCAGTGAAAAAGGCGATACTCAGTTGGCCAGATTGGTCATGATCAGAGCTGTCACCGTTTGTGTTTTCAGACGAGTTCAAAGGCCACAGTCTGCTGGAGGCCAGCAGGCAGGCGGACCCGGCGCGCGTCAAGAAGTTCCTCTCGAGCGACTCGGTCAACTTTAAACACCCACACACGGGTGATACGCCACTGGTGAGATGTCGGGTCTGCGGGAACGGGACTGACGGAGGCGTCCGGCGTGGGCCTAGTCCAAATGGAGCTTCCTTTTGCATTGTATTAGTGTGCTGAGCGCTTTAGTTGCCTGAAGGAAATATAATTTGGCAGTCATATTTCCTTTTATGAATTGTGACGATATAATTGGGTATTGCGTCATAATTGCTAATCCTATCAAGCTAAGACTTTCCCGTTTTCAATCACGATGCTAACTGTGCTCCTGGCTCTATGGCTTGATGTTTTCCTGGTTCGTGCGTTCATTCTTAGCGGTGAACAGCTGGGGCATTAATTTATGAGTGGTCACATTGGCAATCCATAATTGGCCAGTGCTCATCTTGTAGTTCATATCTTGGGATCATCTCGTCGTTCATAGCTCCGCCAGATTCACCACACCCTCATGCGTGCTCCCCCGTGCCCCTCAGTGCACTGTCGGTGTTGCTCCCCGCCGCTCTGACACCCCTCCCTCTCTTCCCCTCCTCCCCCAGCACGCGGCCGTCAGCTCACCGTTCGTGAAGCGGAAGGCGGTGGCCGACCTTCTGGTGCGGCGCGGCGCGGCCCTCAATGAGAAGAACAAGGAGCTGCTGACGCCGCTACATGTGGCCACCGACTGTAACCACGCCGATGCCGTGGAACTGCTGCTCAAACACGGGGCCAAGGTCAACGCGCTGGATAGCCACGGACAGACCGGTGAGTGGTATGAGGAGGCGTGAATGAAGGAGGGGACGGTATGGTGGGTCTTAGAGGCGGGATTACTGTTCCGTATCGCGGCGTCTAATGATATTGGGCTCACTTTGATGTTGGTCGATCCATCTCACTAGACAAAGACTCGCCGTAAATTTGGGAATCAGTGGAGCGGTATTCGACCTTGCAGAGTATCCTGATGTAAATCGCCTTCTGACAGGGTCACAGACCGCCACTTGTGACCTAACTGGGCATCAGTTACATGTGTCGTTGCCCTGCAAACCTGACCTGCCCTGACTGCCTGTTCGCAGCGCTGCACCGGGCCGCACAGGACGGCTGCGTGGCCATGTGTCGGCTGCTGCTGTCGTACGGCATCGACGCCACCATCGTGTCACTGCAGGGATGTACGGCCGCCCAGGTCGCCACCGAGCCCGTCCAGAAGATGCTGCTCGGTAGGTGACGTCCTTCAGACTAGGGAGTGGGGTCAATGGTGGTTGGTGGGTGGCCAAGTATGGGCGGCTGGTGTTCTAGGATCTGGCAGAGGAGGTTATTGGTAAAGATGGATGAGTGAGTGGTGGGCTTATGCCGAGGATGGGAGGTGGCTGCTGATTTATTTAATGCTCCTAGTTGTCTGGCATTTTTGGGCCGGTAGGCCTATGCTATCCATTTACGCGACTCGGCCGCCCGAGGAAGAGTGTGATGCTTACTCAAATCTAACTAAATTGCTCCAAAGCTGGACGATTTCTTATCGAAATTAGCATCTGGTGCCATCTTTTTCACTAGGTGTAATGTTGTATCGGTGGTCAAACATCTCTGCAGCTGAACTCATCATGCCCAGCCTAATTACGTACACACAACTGTGCTGGTCGTCAGCTGCGGCATAGCGCTTTTTGGGTCCCTCTTCGTCATAAACGTCACATCGACAGTTATCCATAGCGGGTCCTCTCAGCCACCACACGGCTCACTGACTGTTTTCGTTCGCTGCTCATTGTCGTTTTCGCTTTCATTCAGTGATGTGTCCACGGCTCGCTCTGTGCACAGATGAGCCCGGCGTGGCCAGCACCAGCCTCGAGTACCAGCTGCTCGAGTCGTCCAAGGCTGGAGATCTGGATGTGGTGCGACGTCTGGTTACGGCGCATCCCCATCTGGTCAACTGCCGGGATCTGGACGGAAGGTAGGTGACCCCTGACCTGGCCTGGTCAACTGTCTAGACCTGGACGGAATGTTACCTGCTGTGACCCGGAAGGAATGTGACCCGTGACCTGTCGCCTGACCCGGGCAAATGCCGTGACCCTCGACCTGACCGGTTGAACTCCCCGGACTTATGTAATTGACGGTAGATGAGAGACGTTCAATCTTCCTGGTTGTCGCGCATTCTCGCCTCTAGTCCATTGTCACGACCCCTGATCTCAGCTGGTCATCTGCCATGGCCTGGACGGAAGGTCATTGTCTCCTTAGTCCTTACTCAACTGTCGACTGACTTTAACCTGACTGGCTGGCCTTAAACCGCCACATACCTTTATTGCTGATCTTCCCAGCAACCTTCTACGACCAGAGCAAAGTGCGACATTTGACCTCACTCGGCCAACTGACCTTACCCAAGCCTTCACCTGTCGGGCTGTTGTGCCCTGTTGATTATAGCTCTGCCGGTGGCGCCGGTCTGACTTCACGTCCATGTGGCAGGCACTCGACGCCGCTACACTTTGCCGCTGGCTACAACCGTGTGCCGGTGGTAGACTTTCTGCTCGATCACGGCGCCGATGTGCACGCCAAGGACAAGGGGTGAGTGGGGGCCCTGTGCTGGTCACATGGGGATAATGTCAGGAGGTGGGGGAGGGACTGTTGCGGGGGTAGGGAGGGGTAAAGAACAGTTGTCACTGAGGCTGGTGGGGGAGGGGGGAGGGTTGATATTGAAGACTGCTAGTCTGGTCGTCTATTTCCGGTGATGTGTTTGGCTGTCGTAAAACATCTTATTCTTATCGACTTATGCCGGTTTGTCCAGGGACATATCACAGGCTTGGCTTGAACAAAACACGTGCCAGTAGTCAGCAGGATGCGCCCTGGTATTTACTACCTGTTCGTTTTCGGAGTATCCTCACTCACAGCACCTCCTCCTTTCCATAACGTCGCTGACTGTGCTCTGCCTCTTCTCTCCTTGCCATCACAGTGGCCTGGTGCCGCTGCACAACGCCTGCTCGTACGGCCACTACGAGGTGACGGAGCTGCTGGTTAAGCACGGCGCTAACGTCAACGTGGCCGACCTGTGGAAGTTCACACCGCTGCACGAGGCTGCCGCCAAGGGCAAATACGAGATCGTCAAGCTGCTGCTCAAGGTAGGGGCATCGAGACAGAGGGGCCTTTGCCCAGTGGAGACGTGGGTTTTGATGCCCAGTGGGTGTCCAGTTGCTGTATGTATCTAGATAATGAGGGCGAAGGTTATCCACGACACGGATCTCAGCTGTCTGTGTTCTGCTCACGATCGGTGGGATAGTTGTTTGAAATATCATCCCGTGTGACCCGCTTACTCGTCAGTCTATGATACGTTTGTCCCTGGCCATCTGTTTTGACCCACCTAACCATCCGTCCATCTCCCCACAGCACGGTGCCGACCCGAGCAAGAAGAACCGCGACTGCCACACGCCTCTGGACCTGGTGAAGGAGTCAGATCAGGAGGTGGCGGACCTGCTCCTCGGTGACGCCGCTCTGCTGGACGCCGCCAAGAAGGGCAACCTGGCGCGGCTACAGCGACTGCTGACGGCAGAGAACATCAACTGCCGCGACTCGCAGGGACGCAACAGCACGCCGCTCCACTTAGCGGGTAGGTGGGAGAGGTCACAGGGGTCACAGGGACGGAACAGCACGCCGCTGCACCTGGGGGGGTAGGTGGGAGAGGTCACATAAGGGGTCACAGGGACGGAACAGCACGCCGCTCCACTTAGCGGGTAGGTGGGAGAGGTCACGGGGCGGGAGAGGTCACAGGGCCGGAACGGCATGCCGCTACACCCGGCTGGTCAGTGGGACTGAGAGCAGCACAGGGAAGTCATGGGGGCAGGGGGCAGATCACAGGGAGGCCACTGGGATGTCAGGTCTGAGCAGCACACCGCTGCATCTGTCAGGTCAGTGGTAGGTTGGACGAGATTGACTATGCGGGGATGTATGCGTGAGACAAGGTGTGATGGCGCTGGTGGGAGGGCGTAATGAGTGTGCAGTTTCGTGAACGATTTGCGTGTTTGGCTTGTGAGATTAGCTTAGAGGAGACTAATTTGGGAAACGTTTTATTTATTGTTGTTCGGTTGCGGTCGAGCTTATGACATTCGGCTTCACCTTTTATGTTGGATAGTAAATCTGAAGGCTGGTTAATCTATTATTTGTCTAGACATCCAGGTTAGTGTGCAATTGAATTGGTGTTTAAAACCGTCAGTGTGTCACCACTTATGAATGTCTCATATTGCAGACCCCAGCAATTACCGGCCCGTATCAATTTTGCCGACCGTCGCGAAGCTGGTAGAGAGTGTTGTCTGTCTCCAACTGATGTCGTATCTACTGTCACACAACATACTCTGCGATGAACAGCATGGGTTCCGGCCGGGCCGATCCACGGAGTCGGCGATGCTGGACGCTGTTGGGTATTTAATGGACGGCATGGACCGTGGGTTCATTGGCTGCCTTACCACGGCCGATACGTCCAAGGCGTTCGACAGCGTTCGGCATCCCCGGCTCCTGGAGAAGCTCGGCTGGTACGGGATTGATACCCACTGGTTTGTGAACTGGCTCGGCGGGCGCAGACAGGCTGTGAGAGGTGGTGCAGGTGACACGCTGCCCATTACGCATGGCGTGGTGCAGGGGTCCCTGATCGGCCCAGTGTTATTTTTAATTTTTACAAACGATTTAGTGTCCTACATAGACACAGAGGAGTCCAAAATAGTCATGTACGCCGATGATGTCCAGTTTTTGCACCGGAGTAGACCCGACGATCTGTCTCAACTGAAAGCGAGTGTTGAGCGCACCGTAGCCACCGCGCACAGTTGGTTTAACGAAAACAGTCTAAAAATTAACCCCACTAAAACGGATCTTATTCTTATCAAGTCAAACAGGAGGTTGTTAACCTCTGAATTTTCTGTTCAACTTGGCGATGCTTCAATCAGACCGTCTTCAACGGTGAAAGTGCTGGGGATGGATGTAGACGCAGGGCTGACTTTTGAGAAGCATGTGTCTGGCACAGTCAGACGCTGCTATGCCACACTCGGAGGCCTATCAAAAATGGCTGGCAAATTGCCGGAGTCTGTAAAGAAAATGATTGTAGAAATGCTCATCTTTCCACATCTCGCCTACTGCTCTACTGTATGGGCTGGTTGCAACGCCACCCAGCGCCATCGGCTACAGAAAGTGGTAAACCACTGTGCGCAGGTGGTGAAGGGGGCGAGGAGACGCGACCATGTCACGCCGTTGTTAGCGAAACTGGAGTGGCCGTCACTCGACAACCTTGTGGCCGAGCGCGACGCATCGCAAATGCACTACTTGCTCAATAACGACCAAGCGCCAACCGGCCTCACGGCCCAAATCGCACACCGCAGTGACGTCTCCACCAGGGACACGAGGGGCTCTCTAGCCGGCTCGCTGCAGATCCCTCGAGTGCGCAGTGAACACGCACGGAAGTCGTTCTTTTGTCGTGCTGTCTCACTCTGGAACCGCGCTCCTGCGGAAGTGAGAGAGTCCCGCTCTGCCAGAGTCTGTCGGAGAAGGGCGAGAAAGTGGCTGACGACCTCCACCTAAATAGGACACTGATATTTTTTTTTTAAATGGTGTTGATAACTTTTAGGCGTGTTTCATGTGTATTTTAATATTTTTAGTGTAGGGTGCAATCTTACTTTTATGCTGCATATTTTACTTTTAATAGATACCTGATTTTATGTAAACCTGACACTTGTTCCGAAAAGCCATCGAATGTGGACGAACATAAGAATACATGATGATGATGATGATGATTGTTGTATTTCAGCCGGCTACAACAATGTGGAGGTGGCCGAGTACCTGTTGGAGAATAACGCTGACGTGAACGCCCAGGACAAGGGCGGCCTGATCCCGCTCCATAACGCCTCCTCGTACGGTGAGCACTGAGCAGGGGCTGGGGTGAGACGAGAGGTGCAGGCAGGCTGGGTGCTCCGTCGGGGTGAGATAGGAGTGCCGTCAGATGTGGCACTTCAGGTACAGGCTGGACTACAGGCCACGAACGGAGCCTCTTGGAGAGACCGGAGGAGGACCTAGGTCGTGTAAAACACACATGTGACTGCCATCCAGTACCTGTTCTGTTCCGATACCCACTTTTGGTGGAAATGCTACTCGACGGTGTTTCTCGTTCACCTTCCCACCTTATTGTGCTTCCATAGCCATGTATGTGCCCACCTGCGTTTGTTCGACTTATATCAATAACAACCCCGTTTATCAATCACCCTCCAGGTCACCTGGACATCGCGGCTCTGCTCATCAAGTACAACACTGTGGTGAACGCCATGGACCGGTGGGGATTCTCCCCGCTACACGAGGCCGCCCAGAAGGGTCGCACGCAGCTGTGCGCGCTGCTACTGGCGCACGGCGCGGACCCGTGCCTCACCAACCAAGAGGGCCAGACGCCGCTCGACCTGGCCACTGCCGAGGACGTCAAGTGTCTGCTGCAGGACGCCATGCCGCACCTGGCCGGCGCCGCCAATACGGTGGCTGTGCCGGCCGCCGCCAGCGCTGCCGCGGCCGCTGCTCCTGCCCCCGCCAGGAAGGCCGGTAAGTGGTGTAGATGTGGAAAGGAGGGGGGGGGGGGATAACGACGATGGATGGAGACGCATAAGCCGGGTTCCGTCCTCATTATTTCATATGTTAGTTTTGGCGATATAATAATATTACGTCCAATAGCTTAGAATTTTCCTTACCTTGATTACTACTGGCACAACTGGTGGATCACCTACCTGATCAATATCTGTCTCACGCCCACACCGTGTTGTGTCCCTCCTACGGACCCCGACGAAGCATTAACTCCTCCCCTTTCTCTCGTTTCCCTCAGGCACGGCGTCCGGAGAGCTGGTGATGATGCCCTCGGGCAACTCTCTACTCATCACCTGTCCGCTGGCGCCGCCTGCTGCGTTCAGCGGCGACGGCAGCGCGTGTGTGCCCGATGTGCAGGTGGACGAGGAGCCCACAGACGCCAACGCGTCGATCGCCGCCTTCCTCAGCGGGTCAGTGGATGGGATGGAGGACGGGGAGCGGGGAGGACAAATTGTCACTGGTCGTCAGGGATATGTTTGTGGGGAAAAGAGATGTATTGTAGGCGGGCTGTCTTCCGAGTGAGAGGAGGGCAGTGACTTTTAGTCGCGAATGTTGAAAATTTGGTACGTTGAACTTGCTCCATGGAATTCAAGTCTGAGTGTTTTGGATGGCGGATTTTCATTACCATTGGTCGGGGTACGGCTGGTATTCGGCTGGTATGTCGTATACGGGCTGTTTTTTTTTTTTTACTGTGATGTCATTTTCCGTTTAAAGTACAAAGTTTACGAGTTTAGCCTGTCGACATAGGTCAGATTTGTCCTTTGCCTCTCTCCGTTCACCGGCGCACTTTACCAAATCTCTCCCTGTCCGTGTGTTCCAGTCTCGGCCTGGAGCACTTGCGTGACATCTTCGAGCGGGAGCAGATCACGATGGACATTCTCTCTGAGATGGGGCACGAGGAGCTCAAACAGATCGGCGTCAACGCCTACGGACACCGGCACAAACTCATCAAAGGTCGGTCGGCGCTGAACTTTGATAGCATGTCAGCTGGATGGATTGGAGATGATCATGGAGGGACCGTGATCGTGGATCAGACATGTGCTAAGGAGATATTATCGGGAAAGCACAGATCTTGTACGGGGATACCAGTAACGTGTACAACTACGTCAGGTTAACTTTTTAAGTGATGGCTCAGGCTCATGTTCATCATATATTCTGTCCATCGCGTGACTGGGCTCGCTGCCGATTCTCGCGCTCTCCCGCGTCCCGAATCACCTGGTCATCCGCTGACCTCCCTCCCCGCACCCCCTCCTCCAGCGGTGGGCTGGCACAGCAGTCAGTCGGCGGGCACCACGCTCGTCGATCTGGCCGTCGAGGATAAGGAGTACCAGGCGGTGGAGCACGAGATGCAGTCGACCATTATGGAGCACAAGGACAGCGGCCAGGCCGGCGGAGTCTTCAGCCGGTACAGGGTCATCAAGGTAGGCGGCGCGCTGGGGGGCTCGTCACGTTGGCGCGGCGAGGATGGGGAGCGGGGAGGGATGTGTGATAGATTTGGGACAGGCCGGGTCTGCTTATGACGTGATGCGCGCTTTTTGAACGGGCTTACTGTCTACTGTTTTATCTTTTCTATTTTTTCTAATATGGAGCAAATTCCCTGACGTCAAAACATATAACGGAATCATCCTCTCGTTTCGATCGTTCCTGTCCCGGTAGTGTATGTGTCACACTTGCCACAACACCACTGACCTCTGAAGCCACTCTACATCACTCCACCAGCCCTTGACACTTGTCTTCACGCCTCAGATTCAGAAGGTGCAGAACCGCCGGCTGTGGGAGCGCTACGTCCACCGACGGAAGGAGGTGGCCGAGGAGAACGGCAACCAGGCCTGCGAGCGCATCCTCTTCCACGGATCGCCCTTCATCAACGCCATTGTGCACAAGGGCTTCGACGAGCGACACGCCTACATCGGCGGCATGTTCGGTGCCGGTGAGTGGCCGGATGGATGGAGGTGATGGGCGCGGAAAGGTGGCAATGCCTTTGTTGGCTTGTGTTGTACGAGTTGCAGCGGTAATGGTTGTGGCGTTGAGGCGTTTTACCCTTGTGTTGTAACTTGTCAGTTTGTATTGGTTTGTGTTGTTATGTGAGCAAGTGCTTTGTTTTAAGAGATGTGTTCCGTTTCAGGTATCTATTTCGCCGAGAACTCGTCGAAGAGTAACCAGTACGTGCACGGCATTGGTGGCGGCACGGGCTGTCCGACCCACAAGGACCGCTCCTGCTACGTCTGCCACAGGTGTGTGAAAAGAACGGGGAATATTTGTTTCTGGTCCCTAAAAAGCTGTTTCTGGCACCTAATTGCTGATCAGCCCCAAAATGCTTATTCGACCCTAATATCTGAATCTGGCACCTAATTGCTTCCACACAGCCTTAAGTTGCCAGATCGTCTAGTTGAACCCCGTATTTGCTGTTTGCTGATTCAGCACCAAAACCAAAACATCCAGCACCTATTTTATTCCACGTTTGCCTACCTAATTCGCGTAATCTTCCTGATTTTATGTATCCTAACAACATGAACGTTGCATTCGGTGATGTCAAGTGCCATTTTCGCCAGTGGAGATAATGATTAATACCATTTCTAGCCAAAAGAGAATCACTAGCCAGCTATGGTGCAGCATAGCAAGACGCTCCTATACCAGCCCGCTATGTAGAGACTAGAGATTACTGCACCCTCAGCCATTTTAACGTGAAAAGTTTGGATCCGTCACTTCCAGCCAGGCTCTCAGGTCATAAACTGGAGTAAAGCAAAATGTCAACTCTGAACAGACATGCCACGCAACCGGCCCTCTTTTCAATATTATTAGCTTTCTGCAATCATCGTCTGACTCCATCTCGATCAAACGCAGCATCCGGTTTCTACAGGGGCGTTTGACTGACCGGCCACACAATAACCAAAAACAAAATCCAAGCTTCATGCACACATATGACATAAGTAAGAAACGGATGAAAAAGGGACAACCACGGCACAACTCTGCGCGGCAAACAACGGACACAATGTCCCACGCAAGATCCCGCGTTTCTTCAGCGGCCTTGAACGGAATGAAAACATTACATTTCTTTTTTGGAGCTATTTGATGACGTCAAAAAATACAATACCCGTTTTAATGGTCAAAACCGAGACAATTACTCACAAAAATGTTTCCCTTTAAGCATTACAAATAAATACTTTTAAATATTTAAATGACATTGTTTTTTTTCAAACAAATCAATATTATTTGCTTACTTAAACGTCATATACAATGCTGAGATCACTACGGGGCTGTCTTAGAGTGTAGCTGCACTGGCAACCTTTAGGCTAGACTCCAGGGGTCATTATACCAGAACAACATGATTCTACCAGCCAGTAGTTCATTTTTCTGCTAGATTGGTGCTACGCTCAGCATTTAGGTGCCAGATTCAGAAAAAAGAGTAAGGCGTACCGATGAATAGGTGCCAGAAACAGCTAATTAAGGTTATTTTCCATGATTGGTGCTGGTATCCACCAAATAGGTGCTGAGGACCAATTTTGGGGCGAGTCAGCTTTTAGGTGCCAGTAATAGCTTTTCTGGGACGCAATTAAATGGCGTCCGAAAGGAACCCAAGCAAGGCTGGCTGTCTCGTTTTCAAAGCTGGACATAGTTAAAGAATTATTCGCAACAAATCAGGGAGTTATGTTAAATTATTTGCATAGATCTAGATCTAGGTGCCAGGATGTTGATAAAACCGGCCAGATTTGCGACTTTTTTCATTACTCTTTAACGACATATAATTTCTCAACCGTCGACGTTACCCCGACCCACTTTTACTGGCTGTTTTTTGTTCCATCATTGCCACCACACGCCAAACTGCTATATCTGGCGTGCTGTGTACGGGCGGCTGGTTCACAGAACTGTGCCGCACCGCGACTGCAACTAACTCCGTTTACTGACGCCTGGTTTACAGGCAGCTGCTCATGTGCCGCACCACGCTCGGAAAGTCGTTCCTGCAGTTCTCCGCCATGAAGATGGCGCACGCGCCGCCCGGCCACCACAGTGTGGTGGGTCGGCCCAGCGCCGGCGGTCTCTCCTTCCCCGAATACGTCGTCTATAGGGGCGAGCAGGTGAGACCCGCAGGGGCGCACCGCGATCGTTACAGTACGGCTGATTGTCTGTAGCAGTTGTTTGGTCGGTTGTCGGGGTGTACGGCCTTAAACCAACTTAATCACGTGTGTCGCGTGCTGCTTTGTGCGCGACTTGTCTGATGAATTGAGTCCCGGAAGTAATTAAAATATAATGTCCTACTTTATAGACTTGCTTTGTAGACTTGCTTGCCGCGGGGACTGTACGAACAAGTCTGGATTCCTGTGTGTGATGCAATGTCGCCTGATGCAATGCAATGCAACGTGAGTCGCCTGGTGCCGTTTCTTTCGTGCGCCGCTCACCGCCGTTTGGCGCCTCCCTCAGGCGTACCCGGAGTACCTTATCACGTACCAGATCTGTCGGCCGGACGAAGCGCACGCCGTCGAGCCTCCGGCCGTCTGAGGCAGGCGCCCAGATTAGGAGCCGGCACTGGGGGGCGACAGAAGGCACCGGCGGTCTCGAACGGGCTTCTGAATCGTCTGACAGGTATCAGTGCGATGAGTGCGTCAGGGCATCTCTGGTTTGGGCCTGGGATCACCTCCCTGGGTGGCTCCCGACTGGCAGTCGGTCTCGGTGTCCCGCTGACGGCAGTCAGGACGGCCCGAGTGGCTCTGCGCTGGGGTCTCGTAAGGACCGAGTTCTCCGCGCCCGACACAGGTGCCGGTCTGGGCGTCTGGCGGCGAGACCGCGAGGGCAGGCGTTGAATCGACTAGCGTCCCGGGTGGTACGTGTACCGGTACATGATCTCTTTAGTCGGTGGCCTGTCAAATTCCTGTCTTGCACCGCGTGTCGCCCGTTTTTTCTACACTACTCCCGAGTCGGATCTTCTGCGCGCGATCGCCGAGAGGGCCCTGCGACTGCGGCGGGCGGCGGCGGCTCGCCACACTGCCACTTGTGCCGTGTCCGTTCCGTGTCCGTGCGGCGTCCGTTCCGTGTCCGTGCTGCTCTGGTCGTGACGGGCCGTGTCACAGGTGATGGTAACTCTCACGTCACGCGCGCGTACACCGGTCCACTCAAAGGGCACTGCCGCGGAGGGCCCGTCGCGGCGGGCACGGGACGGCGCGCTGCGTGAGACTCAGCTCGTGGCGGAGCGGTCAGGCCGGCTGTCGCTCGGACTAAGGGCTGGCGCCTGGAAAATCGGCGGAGGCATCGACGTCTATCGGTGTATGTGTGTGCGCGTGCGGCAGTGAGTCGGCCGTTTGGAAGATATGTATACACTAGTGGATAGGAACATCTACATCTGTGATAAGAATGGCGTCGCGCGTGCCGACGCGGTCGGTGGAGCGCGGCGTATGGAAGAGGTCGGCGGAGGGTGGTCACCGGCGCGACCCCGGCACCACTCCCCCGCGCCGTCCGCTGCGATGTTTTATGGAGAGAAATATATCTGGAGAGTGAACACGGTAGTCTGAATGGGATCTGCTATAGATATAGAGTGGTCTAGGGATTAGCCAAAATTAACCCCCGGGGACGGTAGCTTACGACTCAAATGTCCAATGGTTATCCTTATCCTGAGTAAAATTTCCTGATATATTCAACCCTAGTATAGCATTATACAAGTGCTGGTGTACTTGTCTGCTCGCGCAGTAAGGCATAGGTACTGATGACCAGGGACAACCATGTAATTATGTACACTGTGGCGTCAAAGGTATGCATCCGATCCATATTCCATATGACATTGTTTGACTAATTCAACGGGAAGTCGGCCCCCAGTTACATAATACCCACGTGGTGCAAAGCCCCTATGCTATCACGCAAACATGACCTGCGGCATTGCTAATTAGTAATTACCATGTGTCTTGACAGCGAGCCTCATCGCATTGCTAGTTCCTTCCATACATAGAAATCTTCCATACCAGGCACAGTAGACCCCCGTGGCATAACTAAATACCAATAAATTGATTTGAGTAAGAGAAGATAAGGAGCGGCATCTTATTACGAGCGAGCACGAAGCGAGTCTTTTCAATAGGGTAGCCTAGTCATGCGCGGGTCAACGCAATCAATACTTCTCTTGGAGGTGGGGGACAGACGACGCATAGCTGTTGTCAAGGCGGTGACCTGAAAACGACGGCTAATATGTGGTCCCAGAAAGACTGGGGTCGCATCAAAGCTATCTGATTCATTCAAAGCTATCTGATATCAGGCCTAACAAAAGATTCACCTGTGTTAGAATATCTAACAACAGTATATCCGCTATCTTTTCAAATGCTAAGTTATTAAACGTTGTTGGGCACGGAACCGGACATTGATGCTTAATTAGTAACGTTGACAGCTTTGCAAGCTATGTTACATCCTGATTAGTACAGGAATAATTTACTTGTGCCTACATGCTCCTTTAAATGATGTTTCTATGAAATGATTCCGTGTTTCCAGACATGTTTCCAGTAACTAACGGAAACCGATTTGCAATAATTAATGGCCGCACGTCACTTTGCAGTTCATAAGACGGAGCAGCAGTCACTCCTCCATTTTGGGCCGCTAGTAACGGTGACTGAGACGTGGCTGCCAACCAGCCAGGGGTCCCTCCAACAGCCGACTGCCTCTGGGAGACGGGACGGACTGCCTGATCTGCCCACGAGTTCCCTCGCAGAGACGGTGAGCTCCGAACTGAACCGAGCTCAGAAATCGGCAGTGTTGGCTCTCGACTGTGATCTCCTGAACTGGGATTAGGAAGAACACGGCAAAGGCCTTTTGCCGGGCAGCGGCCAGGTAAGAAGAGCTGCGAAGGCAAAGAAGCGCATAATCATTGAAAGGATCACTAGAAGTTGCGCCAGGTGCTGAAGGCAACCCACAATAATTTCATCCGTCGCCATGCAGCGTTTCTGCTGGGGTTTGGCGGCGCTGCTGGCGGCCGTCGGTCTCTCTGCGGCCGTGCAGTTCGGACTGGTGACCGGCCGCCACCCGAGCTCCCCGCTGCTGGAGGTGCCCGGCTCCAGCCGAGTCCTGTGCGCCATACGCTGTCTGAGAGACACCAGCTGCGTGTCCTGGGAGGTCACCGGCTCGGGCTGCTCCCTGTACCGGGGCGTGACCTCTGACCCGACGGCGGCCACCAGCAGCGGTCCGCTGTGGGCCGACCTCTGGATCCCGGACGGCTACCAAATGGTGCCGGGCACCAACAGGGCCTTCAGAGCGCACCTTGAGATTATATCTGCAGCCTGGAACATTCCGGACGTCTGCGTTCAAGATCACCCCAAAGCTGCCCCGGCGTTTTTGGAAAACGAAGAGCAAGTGCGCTTCGCTCAAGGTCTGATTTACGACACGGTCTGGACAGGCGTCAAGAAAATCAGTCCCGACACCTACGGCGATTTTGCGGGCTCCAGAACGGTCACCTTGATGAGCGAATGGTTTGCGCCAGCCTTTGGCTTCAGCTTTGGAGACCCGTGTCTTCGTTTGAGAACGGGCGGTTTGGATCTAAACGGTTGTAGCGATGAGCACGGCCACCTTTGTGAATACGAACTGTTCGGTTAGGCACGGTGTCATAAAATGTTGCTGTTTCCTAAACCCTCGCGGACCCGGGGGTCGTTCCGCCGCCCCTAGACGAATATTTGCGATAGCTCCCGAACGCCTAGCGATAGAAGCGCGAAACTTTCAGTGCCTTTCCTCCCCTCAATATATAATCAATTTGACATCTTTTGAAGTGAAACTTTTGGACATAGCCCTCTTGGGGTGAGGTCAACTTAAGTAGTTGACCTCAGGTCAAATTCAGGTCAGAGCTCCTCAGGTCACGAAGTTAGACGGAGAAGATCACATCGTATATTAGTCGATTCGGAAGGTCGTCCACATGCGATGGACCCCCCCCCCCCCCCCATGGTTTTTCGCGAATAACCCGCGCAAAAAGCGGCCGATCGCGACGAAACTTTCAGCACCCTCGCATTGATCAATTTTACAGATAGGTACTCTGAAAATATCATGACCCTGACCCAAGTGATCTTTGGCCTGTGACCTATTTCTCGAGGCCATATTTGGGCGGAATCGCGAGTCGGCGTATGTCGGCTCGCATTAGCCGCGCGTTTGCAAGCTTTTCGTGGTTTCAAACGTTCAAACGTTTGATTTGATGTTGCTCCCATGCATTAGGGTGGATGTCAAGGTCACCTGAAGGTCAGGTCAGGTCATTGACCTTTGGTGACCTCGGTTCATTTTGTCGAGTTTTACATGTTTTTAGGCCTGTTTTTGGAGCTGAATTCGAATTTAGAAACCATTTGAACATATACGAAGTAGTTTTGGTGCCTTCGCAACATGTTCCGAAGCTGTCAGAGGCGGTTGTCACGTACTACGAATACCCGTCACGATCCCTACTGGTTGACCTGACCTGACCTGACCCGACCTGGTCTAAATGCTTAAAGACATCATCTGTGATCAAAACTTACACGATATTCGTGATCAGCACCCCGAAAACCTCATAGCAGCCACACTTTACGACTTCTAACAGGTACCGATTTTCCCGACTTTTAGGTCATTGACCTAACCTGGAAGGTCAACCAATGACCTAGGACCTTAAAATTGGGTACCATCGGCTACCTCTCGTGACGGGCAACATGCTCGTTTTTTCCGCGAAGCTCTAGCTCGATCACGGGCCAAACGGCAAGGGGGGTCCAACCGACTCCCCCCCCCCCCCTACACGTTTGGAGCTGGAAAACGCCGCACACATGCGAGGGTTATATGATTGATGGGATTTGTCTGGAAAATGTAGAAACCATCCGGGATTTGGGTGTTATATTGGATGCCAAAGTTGACTTTCAGCAAACATATAGACACAACAGTATCAAAAGCTAATAAAATCATGGGTCTTATCATGAGATCGATGCAAACTGGTTACAGGGTCAAGACGTTTAGCTGGAAGTCCATTTTAACATTATTATGGTATTATTATTATTATGGTAACGTTAGAGCAGTTCTCGAGTATTGTTGTGCTATTTGGGGAGGAGCCGCAACAACTGACCTGGACCGAATCGAAAGGGTGCAACAGCGTTTCTTATATTGGTTATATTGTTATGCTCGATGTCAATACCTATCACCAGCTATTGATTACAGTGAATTGCCGCAATTATTTGGTGTTGCATGTTTAGAGAATAAGCGTCGACAATATGCATAACCGTACCCCCTTTGATTTTGGCATTTCAACATTAGCCCAATGGGTGTTGCATTGCATGGAAAGAATGGGACCAAAAGTCGGCAGTGCCCTCCCCCTTCATTGAAGGTGTTCCGCCGCTACTGACAATATGACATTATGTTTGTCGCCAAATTGTATAGAAATCATACTGATCGTGCTCCCCTCTTAGCCCATTTCCTTCTATTTATCGCAACAAGGGCAACGAGAAACACCGAACAAGCACGTGGTGTCTTTCATGTTCCATTTGCGAGAGTAGACGCGGTGCAAAGATCACTTTTTGTTAGAGCACCATCGTTTGTTAATAAACTTTTGTTTCAGTGTAGGGGAGAGTGGGGTGGGTTGTATCAGTTTTTACTCCGAGGCCCCTAACCTCGTAACTATCCGTGATAAACTCATTATTTCCATACTATCTCCTTCCTTGATTCTTCTGCTTTTTTGTGCAAAGTAACTTTTCCGCTACCTCTACCAGTTTTTCTTCTACGGTCTGCCGAATAGAACAATGTTTTTGATACAACTTGCCCCATGGCTTGGGTGAGTTGTATCACATGGTGGGGTAATTTGTATCACTATTTCACGTTTCAGGGAGTGTGCTGGCTACTGGTTTTGAACATAACAACAACATTAAATGGGATTAATACAATGTATATGCTCAAAGGCTTCACTTTTATTAGACCAAACTTAGGTCAATCCGAACGAAACATCGAAACGAGCGAAACATCAACAGACTAGACGCAAAAGTGGCCCGTTAAGAGCAAAGAAGCCAACACACTGTGCCGAAATGGAGCGAGTATTGACTAGCTACCTACAAACGCGAGCCAGGGCTTAGCTTTCGCGATCAAAAGCAACATACCCATACATACATACATACATGTTACAACATACCCCACCCGGCTCTGATACAACATGTACGGTTCTCCAGTAAAAGTCTTGTTGGTTTTGCTTTTTCGGACATATCTGGTCCTATATAATGTTCAAATGCATAAGTATCAACCCGAATTATGTGTATGCACATTTACCACGAGACTGTGAACTTGCATCGTTGTATGCCAAATACTTTTCGAGATATTCACCAAAAACCTCATTTTCTGCCGTTTGGGGCATTCTGGCCGCAATCTTCCTGGGGTCGCCTATGACATCAGTAGAGCCATCTAACGAGAGGAACGTGGAAACACAGAATCATGAATGAATCGAGTGCGTAGTAAACGGTGTATGAAAGGGAGACTCGGCAGAGGCTATCCGGGTGGCCGGCGCGCGGCGCGCCCTTAGGCATCGGCCGACCCTTCGGACCG